AGTTGGAAGAGACCACAAGGGCCATCGAGTCCAACCCCCTGCCAAGCAGGAAACACCATCACAGCACTCCTGACATATGGTTGTCAAGCCTCTGCTTAAAGACCTCCAAAGTAGGAGACTCCACCACACTCCTTGGCAGCAAATTCCACTGTCGAACAGCTCTTACTGTCAGGAAGTTCTTCCTAATGTTTAGGTGGAATCTTCTTTCTTGTAGTTTGGATCCATTGCTCCGTGTCCGCTTCTCTGAAGCAGCAGAAAACAACCTTTCTCCCTCCTCTATGTGACATACTTTTATATATTTGAACATGGCTATCATATCACCCCTTAACCTCCTCTTCTCCAGGCTAAACATGCCCAGCTCCCTTAGCCGTTCCTCATAAGGCATCGTTTCCAGGCCTTTGACCATTTTGGTTGCCCTCCTCTGGACACGTTCCAGTTTGTCAGTGTCCTTCTTGAACTGTGGTGCCCAGAACTGGACGCAGTACTCCAGGACTTCCGGGTTGACGCGATCTGGAAATGGCGGATTCCCTCCGAGCTTTGCCGCGCCGGCGACGCGGGGACCCTTAAAAACCGCAGGCGCGGAAGCCTGCGGACTGAAGACTCGGCGGGTGCCTTAAGCGCCCCCCCTGATTCGCAAAGAGCCTTTTTAAAGGCTGCGGAGGGGATACGGGGGTGGCGTGGCACTGAGAGTCGATCGCTACCTCGGTGGAGCGAAGCCGCGAGCCATGACCGGAGAGCGCTGACTTCCTTCCTTGAAAATTTGGACTGAAAGAATCACCCGTGAGTAAGACGGATTGGGACTTTATAAAAATTTTACCTTTAATTGGAGACGACCGGGGGGTGTGCTAAAAGGAAGTCCGCACCCCCCCCCTTGCAGACCATCTAAGCAACGACACAAGAGATAAGCTGGAGAGCCTACCCTTGGTGGGGTGAGTTAAAAAGGACACTAACTTTCAAGATTTTGCTAAAGGAAATTTTGTGCAGGAGAGTGGAGTTTTGGAAACCTTCCTTTTGTTTTAAACAACCCCCCCTCCCGGGCTCGGGAACGTCCTGCCTTTGTGCCTGCGTTAGAGCTGCGGAGTTTGACAGCTGTCAAAGCTGCCAAACGGGCGGTTTAAAGTGAGAAATTCCCATTTAAGATTTCTATGGACTAAGACGAGTTATAATTGAGTTGAAACTGTTGGAAACAAAGTAATAATAATCAGTTAAAGGATTGTTGGTGAAAAGGCAAATAAGTAAGTAACCAGATTCCCCCTAGGGGGAACTCTGTGAAACTACAATGGATACAATGGCTGTGGAAGGAAAGTTACTAGTGGAAATCGAAAGGATGTTTCAATTGGTGGGAATCTTACAGGAGCAGAGCTTGGCCATGAACAAACAACTTGAGACTATGACCTTGGGAACAGGCAACTCTGCTCTTTGTATTGAGGACCTTAATGAGAAAGAATCCACAGCTGATTGGGAAACAATATCTACAGAGCTGGAAGAGACTAAACAACAAGAAAAAGAAGAAGTAATCCTGGGAAGCAACAACCAAAAGTTGACATCTGTAGAATACAAGCAAGGAGACGCTGGGAACATATCCACCACAAGTCTGCGAGAGATACAGAAGAAGAAGGAGGAGGCCCCAAGACAAAATGGAGTACAGGAATTTAAAATAAAGAAATATGATTGGGGCCTCCGTTTGGACTTAGACGTGGAAGAGAGAGACTTTGTGGAAATACTTCAGCAGCTACCTTTGAATCTTCTTGTCGGAAGAGGACATACTTTGATGGTGAAAGAACTTTTCCCAGATCTGACGACTGCTATAAAGGACTACCAACAGGACAGGCGGAGAGGAACGGAAATAGATTTGAAAGCCTCGGACGTGAGGAACCCAGGCTGAGAACTTCGAATTTGGATTTTTATTGGGAAGGGACAAAAACCGGGGATGGGAGGGAGGGAAGAAGAGACTCTTAAAAACTCTTAAGACTTTTAGGTCTGGTTAAGATGACTCTTAATTAAGATAAAATGAAAATCGATGGAAGAGAACTTAAGTCCAACTTATGAAAATTAATTTTTATTATAAAAAAGGAAATAAGACGAATAAGATTGTTAAGAGGAGAAATATCAACTTGCTGACATAATCTTGAAACTGGGATGCATGAGGGGGGGTGGGGGGAAGTCAGGGAACAAGGTTATGAAATGGGGATTTGCTGATTTTATACATGTTTTTGTCTTTTGTTTTTTCTTTGTGTATGTTTTGTCTTTATAAAAGCAGAAAACCAAATAAAAATTTTATAAAAAAAAAAAAAAAGAAGAACTGGACGCAGTACTCCAGGTGAGGTCTGACCAGAGCAGAATACAGTGGCACTATTATGTCCCTAACCCTAACCCTAACCCAATCTAAATGGAAAGCTACACTGCTGGAAAAGCTTAAAGGCTTGGGGATCCCTCTACAGACCCTGATAGTGACAGGCTTCGAGAAAGCTAGGACTACAATTCGCCAGCGTATCTGGGACGTAGAATTACAATGCCACATGAGCGAAATGATCAAACACCCAGCAATAAGGGACCATGGGAGAGGTTTCTCTCCAGCTAATTATCTGTCGGGTCTTCAGGTACCCAAATACAGACGGTCTTTTACTCTCGCCAGATTCAACGTTCTCCCTTCTGCCTTACTTCAGGGCAGATTTAAGGGTAAACCATATACAGCATGGGTCTGCCCTTGTGGCTCGTTGGAAGTTGAAACTGCTCTACATGTACTATTACATTGTCGTCTTTATGAGGATAGACGTTTGACTTTTATTACACCTGTTTTGCAAAAGTCCAGGAAAGAATCGGAACTCCATAGTTTAAAACTACTGCTAGAGGACAAGAATTCCAAGACTACATTAAATGTAGCCAAATTCTGTGTGTCTGCAATCAATCGCAGGAAGCAAGTGGTAGTCCATAATGACCAAACCCCTAAATGTTAACTACAGGGAGCACGCTAATAATTAATTTTAATTTTTATATTTAAATCCTTGTTATATTCATATTGTCCTCTGTATCTCTGATTTTTTTTTTAATGATCTGCGATATTGTGTGTGTTGATGCTGGTCTGTGACCGTATTAATAAATTCATTCATTCATTGATTTATACTGATAATTTGATATTTTAAGCACTATATTGTTCTTATTTTAATGGAATTTAGAAACTGAGATGTACTTGATTTAAACGTAATTTAATTTATTAATTTTATCTTGTTATACCTGTGTTGCTGTATGATGTATTGAATGTGGGCCTATGGCCGCAATAAAATATCTATCTATCTATCTATCTATCTAATCCTTCCTCCACCTCCACTCCCTGGGCTCAGAGCAATCTTCCCTTCCTGGTTCCCTGGCTGCTTCCTCCCACCATTCCTCTGTGCCCAACCAGTCCATGATATTGCTCCATCCCTCGGCTTCTGTCCCCACTAGGCAGCTTCCCCTGACCTGATCTAGTTCCACAGCCACTGCTTCCCTTCTGCCCCCATGAAAAGATGGATCAGGAGGTCTTGCCGGCATCATTCTGTCACCTGCAAGAGAAAAAAAGGTAATCAGGATGCCAGGAGGGCCTGCTTCTCTCACAGAGGAAACAGGCCATCTCTAACTACAGATGGGCTTTGAGAAAGCCTTACCTGCTGAGTGCAGTTGAAGGTTTGTGCCCATTTCATGTAAGGTGTGCAGAAATACATCTCCCCTCCTCTGAACCCTTGTTCCCAACCCCCACCCCTCAAAAAAAAAGATGAAAAGAACCCTCAGATGAGTTGGAAAACCAACAGAACAAGACCAAATGGAGAAAAGCCTCCTTACCCAGTGTCCTCTCTCTGGTGTCCAACGGAGGCCTCTCTGCCTCACAGGAATCCAGGTCCATTTCTGCAAAATGATCCCTTTTCTGAAAGAACAACTAGGATTCAAAACAGTAAATGAATGGTGAGAAATATAAGAAAGAGAACGACAAAGACAGATACTTTAAGGGTGTTAGATCTCATTCCCAGAAAAAGGATGGGCCATCAGCAGACCTTTTCTGGATGTTCTCCATCCTGTTTGGAGCCCCTTGGGAGTATCCAGAGGAAAGTCTCTCTCACCTGCTTTCTCTCCTCTGCCTGACTCAGGAGGAAACCTTCGGCCAGGGCCACCGCCTGCGAACTGGTCTCCGCTCTGCATTCCCTCACCCAGCTCTCCATCTCCAGGGGAAGGACAGCCAGGAACTGCTCCAAGATCACCAGGCCCAGCATCTCAGCTTTCGTGTGCCTTTCTGGCTTCAGCCACTGATGGTCAAGGTGGTAGAGTCGGCTGCAAACCTCTCGGGGTCCTTTGGCCTCCTGGCAGCAGAACTGCCTCAACTGCTGGCTCTGAACCTCTGAGCGGAGGGCGTCCTCCTCACCCAAGATCTTCTGCACAGAGTTTTCCCAGAATCCCCCACTGCTCCCAGTTTGGATTGCATGGCCTCTTCCTACTTCAGGGCCAGCTGTGTCTCGCTCATCCATCTGTGCTCTCAGGAAGCCTCTGAGAGATGGGAAGGAACCCTTTGGTCTTCTGCCAAGTTCTGTCCGCCTGAATGAGAAGCTCTAGCAAATCCTACAAAGCAATTACATTGTTCAGTTACAAAAGTTGTCTAATATCAGGAGAAGAAAAAGGTTCCCTGAGCAAGCATGGATGAGTCTTGCTGGGAACCAGGGTAGGACTGCACCACAGCCCAGACTCTGAGCTATCTTTCTAAAAAGGAGGAGGAGGAGATGTAGGCCTCTAGAAGGGAGATTGTGGAAATGTGGAGGCAAGTGAAGAGATTAATGCGAGGCGAATCAGCCTGGTTGCTCCTTCCTTCCAGTCAATGCATGAAGTCAGAACTGATTGACAAGGGAGTCATTGGTTCCTAGTGAAAAATGACTAGGTGTGTTGAGTCCGAATCTCCTTTCTTGTAGCTTGAAGCCATTGGTTGGAATCCTCCCCCAGGTGACATGGCTCTCCCATCTCCTCTCTGTCTCCTCTTCTCCAACTCAACATACCCAGCTCCTCATAAAGCTTGGCTTGATCTGCTTGGCTGGCCTCCTCTGCCAATAAGGAGAAAGAAAGAAGGGAAACAAAGGAAGAGGTTTTGGAGCAACCATTCATACGTGTTTCCTCTGTTGTGCAATGACGCTGACCCGTGTCACACACAGCAGAAGTCCTACTGATAGCCTTATTTAAAGAAGCGAGATTTCTATCTGCTAGATTTCCCAGGGGGCTCTGAGTAATTTATTTTCTGGAAGGGGGGGCAGTAACCTCCTCCCCTCCCCCCTCCACAAAAGATCTAAAGGAAGGAGACAGTTCCTGCCACCTCGCCCCTCCCTGGCAGGACCCCCTGCTCCCAGAGTCTTCCCCCCCCCCCACACATGAGCCACCCTCCCCTGCTGCAGCCCTGCGACCCCCCTTCTCCCCACTGCACCCTCGGGGGGGGGGAGGGAGAGACTCCCCAGATCCCAGGAGAGGATTGCCCTTCCCAAAGGAGTAAGCAGCGTCTTTATACAAATAGAGTACTGTAGTTGCAAACCTCGTGCAACCTCACCCCTCCCTGGCAGGACCCCCTTCTCCCAGGGGCTTCCTCCCCCCCCCCCACATGAGCCACCCTCTCCTGCCTCCCTGGGACCCCCACCTTCTCCCCACTGCACCCTGGGGGGGGGAGGAAGAGACTCACCAGATCCCCGTGGAAGAGAGCAAGGCAGCCTTTGCAATAGCAGAAATCAACCCCCCCCCACTTGCAGGAAGGGGAGGGAGGGGCTTTTCCTCTGGAGGACCTGCCCCCCTTTACTTCCTGTGCTCTCTAGGAATGCAGCTCAGTTCCCTTTAACCCTTGCAAAGCCGAGTCCACCCTGCTCAGTCCTCTCTGCCTTTTCTCTCCTGCATTGCACAATCCCAGAGATGCTCATTTTGAGGGGACGCTCTTGGTTGGTCTGTGATCCAGAAACTGGAGGAAGAGGTTGCAGGGAAAAGGGGTTTGCAGGAAGCAAGGAACCTCATCCTAGAATGGGAGGGAGCCCTAAGGGTCATCTATTCCAACCCCCCTGCAAGGCAGGAATCTCAGCCAAAGGATCCAACCTCTGCTTAAAAACCTCCAAGGATGGAGAGTCCGCCATCTCCCAAGGGATTCTGCTGCTCTTCCCGTCAGAAGGTTCTTCCTGCTGTTTAGGCAGCAGAAACTGCTTTCTGGTCCTCTGGGTCCCGTATTCTGGGTGCTCCCCTCTAGGGCAGGAGAAAACAAGCTGGCTCCCTCTTCCATGGGTCAGCCCTCCAGATATTGAGAGGTGGCTCTCTGGTCTCCATCCAGGCAGGTCTCAGCTGAGGGAGGAACAGGAAGACACGCTGTTCCTGCCTCTCCTGGGACTGCAAAATGCAGGAAAGGGCACATTTTGAAGGCTTTGGGTACGTTTTGTTAATGGGGAAATCTGAGGGTTCCCTTGGAGAAAAAACAAGGACACCAGCCAGGAATACCGGAGCAAAACACCAGCCAGTAGGCTTGGTCTTTATTGAAGACTGTCGAGACAGGACTCCCACCTGACACCAGGTGGGACAAGATGGAAGCCCCAAACAAAAGAGAACCCAAACTTTTATTAGCTGCTAATCCCCATGTTACACCCCCCCAAACTACATCACTCATACATCATGAAAGGGGAGGTCTGGTGGCAGGAATCTGAGCATCATGGACCCTGCCCCATGGTTCCCCTTGCCCTCCACCAAACACACATGGAGTGTAATAAAATAGATATTTACATTTCCCTGTTTCCCAGCGAAGTCAATCACACCCTTTTGTCTTCGTCTGGGTTTGTTATTTTGGGAATGGCAATCTGTCCAGCACTCAGGTATCAGGATGCCAGGGATTATCCCTCAGGCAGAAGGGCTGCTGAGGAGCTGAGCTCACAGGTCTATATGAATTTCTTAAGTTTTCCCAGTGAGCCAGTATAGAGATACATTTATCAGTGAATTCTTACATTTGGTATAGTGCAGCAAAGGCCCTTTGAATAGATAGGAAGAAACTGTGATGAAGTGTTTTGTGGGGACAAGTCACAAACGTCACAAAAGTGATGGTGCTGATTTTGGTAGTGGGCTGCATGTGCATGATATCTGTTGCAGGGGCACCCCCCCCCAAAAAAAACCCTATACATAAATTCCTGCAACATTTTGCCTTCCAATGTCCGGCTATACCTCTTGGCTCGTCCTCCAGACTTTGCTGGGGGGCTGTGTTCCCCCTCCCAAAGCAGGGACACACTCATAGCACCCGAAAGCTGTACCACCTCATTGCTGCTGCCGGGGGTGAGAGGGTTTATATAGTGGCGGGTGATGCCCTTTTGGAATATTTGGCCAATTAAGTGAGGCGGGGAATCCCTCAAGGGACGGAGCAGCAGCTGATTTGCTACCTGTGCTATGACACCCTCCTCTCAGCTGAGCAGGTGCCCTCAGGGGACCTCAGAGTGGAGGTCTGGTGGCAGGAATCTGAGCATCCTGGACCCTGCCCCATGGTTCCCCTTGCCCTCCACCAAACACCCATTGGGTGTAACAAAAGAGATTGCTGGAGGCAGGGGTGGGACCTGTTGGCCCTGAATATCTGGATTGGCTAAGCAGATGAAATGGGTAGAAGCATCTCAGCCAGTGGGAAAGGCAGCCATATTGACTATGGCAGGCATAGGCATACTCGGCCCTCCAGATGTTTAGCGACTACAATTCCCATCATTCCTGACCACTGGTGCTCTTAGCTAGGGATGATGGGAGTTGTAGTCCCAAAACATCTGGAGGGCCGAGTTTGGGGATGCCTGCACTATGGGTTGTGGACTCTCCATCTTTGGCGGTCTTCACATACCTGTCAACTGTCCTGCTTTGAGTGGGACATCCTGCAATTCCAGAAGCCACCCTGACTTCTGATTGGCTCCCAAGGTGTCCTGTTTTGGCTCCCGTGAAACTGTGGCCCCAAAAGACGCCCATTTTGGGGGGTCCTTGCTCTTGCATGATTTACGTGACTCATTCAGGAGCGTGGCCCCAGAAGTCGCAGGTCCCAATTTCCCTCTGCAACATGTTGGAGGGCAGGCAGAGTTTGGGAGGACCACTCTCTTCATATTCTATGGCTGTGGGTGACAGGAGAAAGAGTGGACTATGTCAGAATCTTCGGAGGGCCAGCAGAGGAGCCTCCCTTGGATGAATCACCACAGCCCCATAGTGGCCGTAAAAGCAGGTGAGCAGTGAATCTCCCTCAAGTTTTAAAAGGAGTGCTGCGTTACTGGGCTGTCTCACAGGATGCTTTTTATTATGTTTTCATCATTGTTGTTCTGTATTGTGCTTTTAATGTTGTACTCCGCCCTGTGATATTCTGATAAAGGGGGGTATATAAATTGAATAAATACTACTACTACTACTATTATTATTATTATTATTATTATTATTATTATTATTTCCCCGCATTTTGGAGTGCCAAGTCTTTTTGAGAGAACTGCTGTGGAGCTGAGATGAAGGAGGAGAGACCATATCCTCTCCACCCAGCAGAGGTGTGGAACTCCAGGAAGACACAACACGAAAGACAGTGCGCTATTTTATTAATTTTTTTTATAACTCCTGCTTATGTTATATGATGTTATGATGTATTGTAATTTTCATAAAATGTATACATTGCTTGATTGTAAAAACACACAAACACACTCTTTCGTCTCCCATTCTAACAGAATACCGTATGTGCCTTTCAGCAGTTGGAATCTAAGTCTCTCCTGTATTTGTCAAAGGATTCTCTGAAATTCTGATGTTAGCCTGTATCTCCTTTTCGTGTATGTAAAGGAAATGCCCTCTGGGAATTCCCATTTATATCTAATGTCAACTCTCCTGAGTGCTATTGTTAAATATCTATATTTGGTTCTTCTAAGTCTCAATTTGAGTGGAATCTCTCTAAAGATATCTACTTTCTGCCGGCAACCACATAATTTGGCTCTGAATCAGATTCTGGAAGGCCTCTGTCAGGTAGACGTTAACTTATTACTTCAGTTAAATGTCAAAGGATTAAACAAGGTACTACAGTGGTACCTTGGGTTACAAACGCTTCAGGTTACATACGCTTCAGGCTACAGACTCCGCTAACCCAGAAATGGTACCTCGGGTTAAGAATTTTGCTTCAGGATGAGAACAGAAATCATGCTCCGGCGGCCCATTCGCTAAAGTGGTGCTTCAGGTTAAGAACAGTTGCAGGTTAAGAACAGACGTCCAGAACAAATTAAGTACTTAACCCGAGGTACCACTGTACAGGCACAGCTTCTCTATCCAGAATAAATGCTCTGTTTCTGCTGCTTCTCTCTCATTCCCTTCCTTAGTTATGACAGGACAGCCCAGCTTCCTTCATGGCTTCATACTTTGGTCTGTGAGCGAGGGGCCACTTTTCCTCGGTTCCCCAATCTCTAAGCAGTTCCACTTCCGAGGTATTTTCCTTTGTATGCCAGACCCAGGGAATCATCTCAGTCCTTTTTACTGACTCAGAAATCTCCTTTTCCTAGAAAATCTCTCCCCTCCCAAATGGAAGGAGACCCCAGAAGAAGAGTCTTCCCACAGCTTCTCCTTCCAGATTAAGTCCCATCTGAACACTCTCTCCAGACCCTCAACATGGAATTCCTATCTCAGCTACGACTGTTAATAGAGGATGAGCTGCCTCACTTCATGAAATTAAAACCTCGCTCCTTCAAAGTATTAGAGTTCAAAGACTGTGATAAAAATGAAAGAAGAGCAAAAGGAGAACAATATCGTGGTTCTCAAATGATGGATAACATAGGTTACTACAGGAGTAAGAAAATAAAATGATAATTATTATTATTATTTATTATTTATTATTTATACCCCGCCCATCTGGCTGGGCTTCCCCAGCCACTCTGGGCGGCTTCAATATTCAAATAAAATATTAAAATACTAACACAGTGAGGTAAGCTCGCAGTGAGGTAAGCTCCAGAAGGCCCTTGGTGCTGGACCTCAGTGTCTGGGTAGAACTTCAATGGTAGCCCATTGTAGAGCGCATTGCTGTAGTCCAAGCGGGAGATGAGCAGAGCATCCACCAATCTGGCGAGGCAGTCCACAGGCAGATAGGGTCTCAGCCTGCGTACCAGATAGAGCTGGGAAACAGCTGCCCTGGACACAGATTTGACCTGTGCCTCCATGGACAGCTGTGAGTCCAAAATGACTCCCAGGCTGAACACAGCCCAGGGGGAAGGAGCGGAACCACTGTATGACAGTGCCCTCAGCTTCCAGCCCTTCAAAACGGTCCAGAAGGATGTTGTGGTTGATGGTATCAAACGCCTCTCAGAGATCCAGCAGAACTAGGAAACAGCTCTCACCTTTATCCCTAGCCCGCCAGAGATCATCAACCAGTGCAACCAAGGCAGTTTCAAGTCCCATGTTGAGGCCTGAATCCCGTCTGGAAGGGATCCAAATGGTCCGCTTCCTCCAGGCGTGCCTGGAGTTGTTCAGCAACCACTAACTCAATCACCTTGCCCAAGAATGGAGGATTTGAGACTGGGCGATAATTGGCCATCGTGGCCGCATCTAAAGATGGGTCCGGGAAGGCTCCCTCACAGAGGGAAGCATTCACCACCCCACGAAGCCCATCGCCCAGCCCTTCTCAGCTAGCTTTTATAAGCCAGGATGGAGAAGGATCAAGGAGACAAGTGGATGGTTTCACCCATCCAAGCAGCCTGTCCACATCCTCGGGGGTAACAGATTGAAATTGATCCCACACAACTTGACTAGACAGGACTGTAGCACTCTCCCGCCCTGCTCCCACGGTTGAGTCTACGACTTCTCGAA